ACTGGAGGATACAGATATCTAGGAGTTGAATACAATGTCACAGAAACCCTAGATGAAGCGAACGCAATTCTTTGGGTGATAAAGGATTCCTTCTTGACATCTAGACTTTCCTTTTAAGGACGTGGTTTGGAGCAATCAAAAAAACTCTGTTGAACTTAATCCACTGTAAAAATAAAAATGTTATAGCTCAAGTTTTAAATGTTTGTGTGGACTGCTTCATAGATTCCCACCCTACTTAGAAGGCTAGTTCAAAAGCATTGCCATCCAAATGATTTATGCTCGGGAAATGCAAAGGTTGTTAAATACCTTCAAAGTAAAACATATTTTTAAAAAATATGTCATTATAAAAATTTGGATTCACTTTATTATGGACCATTATTACATAATTTATTATACACTTATAGCACATTTTTTCAACATAAAGCACAAAATTTGTTTAATCTGGATATTAACACAAACTCAGTATCATTCTACTTGATACTGAGACTACTCTATTGAAATTTTTTTCAAGTAACAACTCTACCTGCTTACTAATGCTGCCATTTCTAAAAGTGACACCATTATTTATTATTTTAAAAATTGAAAACTTAAGTGTCCAACAGAAAAAGACCACTAGGTAAACCACACAAACATAGATAAGAATACTACATCGCTATTAAAAATAATGTTATAGAAAAATACTGACATAAAAATGTTCAAGATTCACTGTTAAGTGAACAGTGGCACTACAGTGGATGCATTATGAGCCCATCTGTAAACATCACGAGGCTATAAGTGGACATGCACATATATAATGGCTAAACAAAATGCAGGAAGAAGACACGCCAGAAGGTTAACAATCGCATCTCCTGGTGATGGAGATTTCCAGTGATATTTTAAAATTTTAATTCACGCTTTTCTTCGTGTTTCCCAAATTTGCTACATTAGGGATGCTCTATTTTTACAACTGAGGGGAAAGAGATTAAGAAAGAAACGCAACTATTTACACTAAATCTATATTTTAATACAAATGATAAGTTCTTAGCTAGACATATGGTTTATCCCTCATTGGTAGCACTCCCCTTTGCAGGGTTTTTTAAAAATACAAAACCTTTAAAGATGAATCAACCTGTATTTTCATTTTCCACTATTTTGGGTGAGAACTAAAAATTTAAATATCTGATTAAATGTGCACTCTGGAAAAGATGGGAATTTTTGTCTTACTATTTGATCTTATTAATGGAGAAAGGAAAATATTTTATTTATGAAAATATTTCTGAAAAATAAAAAGTAAATTACATCCTAAACAGTATACTATAAAAGTCAAAAGCAATTCATAAAAATTTGATTTGTCCTTTTCTTTTAGAAGTGATTTCTTTTCTATAGACTTCTAAGACTTAAAATAAGCAGAATTACACCTTTGTGAAATAAACACCTAAAACAAGTGATAACTCAGAGTCAACAATACACTTACGAGGAGGAGTTCAGTTAATATAACATTTACATAATTGAAAATATAGAGAACTACAGGAATCTCTTATCCACCTATTTCACAGAAGCTACATCTAACAAAGCTATAAAAAATGCCTAACAAATGGTTGTAAAGCAACCTACAAATATAAATGCCATCATGATAATTACACTCAATTAGCAAGATTAAATTGCTCTGACACTTAAAAGTCCTCTATAAATAACTCATACAACTGCCTCTAGAATTTTAGACTCAGAAAAGGACAAAATGCAATGTCTACTGGTACAATGCCCACAAGAAACTACACGTAAAAAAATATTTTACTTTATGCATCTGCAAAGACATGGAAGGAAACACACACACACACAACAAAAGGTAGTTTTGCTATAAGGCAGAACTTTGATTTTTCACAATGTTGTTTGCTTTCATAGTTCAAAATATTTGCAGCAAATAAATATTTGACACAGCACCAGAAGTACAAATGTGGGGGAGATCGTACATTAAATATGTGCTTTCAGGAAAGGAAATGAGATAAGAAGAAACAATTTACTTTTAATACTAACACTGCCTGACACATTAGATGGTAGACAATAGCTAACTGAGAATTAAATTTCCTAATTTAATCCTTCTAACAATCCTAAAATCTAAGAGAGGTTGTATTATAATTATCAAATAAAACATCAAATGGGTCTTTCCTGCAGGATAGAATAAAAACAAACAAAAAAGCAACTATCAATTAGTCTCATAAATGCCTGCTGTAAGGCTGCAACTTAACTCCTTACCTCCTTACTCCTTAAGGGCTGAGATTTGAGCTTTCTAAGTTTGTTCCATCCTTTCTTAACTATTTAAAAGGTTGAGATATATAATCTCCCTCAAAACCCCATGACCAAAAAAATAAAAAGCTGGAAACAGTCTCACCCTTGCAAATCTTATGTATGTTTTCCTTCTGGAACCTATCATTTACTATCTTATGTTATAATCGTTACGTAAATGCTCTTTTAGCTATACTAGATTTCAAATCCACTGAGGGCAGTGTCATTCACACTGCATCTTTCTGTGCATCACGCATAGCTTAGTAAACAGTCTTGATTAATAGTGTGAACTTTCTGCAGACTCTATCAGCTAACAAGAATCAAGCTTGCTAAGTCTTTGCAGCTTGGTTAAAAAAACAAAACCACCCTCTGGAACTATTAGAAAGGTAGTGTTCTCTACTCAGGGGAGGATGGGGGTGGCTGGGAGTGTGCACACAACTTGTCTGCTGTCAGTTAAGCACAAACCAGACCAAAAGGCACATTCTCCCTTTTCCCCTTCAAGGATGATTCCATCCAAGTCAATCAGTCTCTCTTGGTTAAGAACACAGTCCGCCTATGTTCTCTTCAGAGGACCTGGAGAGGCTGAGGTAATCTAGGTGGCTTTCTAGTGGTCTGCGACTACAGGAGAATAAAATCAACCTTTCACCTGTGAGCAACTGACCAGGTCAAAACCCAAAGAAAACTCTAGAATGTGGACCCTAAGGAATCCTCTAGAAGCCATGGAATCCAAGTCTTTCAGCTGAATTCAATCTACACGAGATAAAGCTCACACCAGTAAGACCTCACTGCAAACTCTATAAACGCACCCCAAACCGACTGGCCCCTCACAAGTCAAAAGATGAGTATGTCCTAAGGTGCATACCATATGTTAAACTTTCTGACATACTCCAAGTCATTTCCCTGTCCTGTGGCTAGTAACAGAGTGCACGGTAGAGGCAAACTGGCATATCAGAGAATCAATCAAGGCAACTCAATTTTCAAGATTGAAATATGTTTATAAATGCACAGAAAAAGATCTAGAACGTTAACAGCAGTTATCTCTGGGGAGGGATGTGAGATAGAAATGAAAGAGTGCAAAGTGGGTTTTCACTTACTATATATACCTTGTATTGTTTTAATTTTTCATGGGCATCAATTCTGTAATTTTAAGAACAAAATTTTAAGTGAAATTTTAAAACGTGATTTTATTTTTTCAAAAAGATTGAATAGACCTACATGGAATGAAAATGAAAAATAAAGGTCATTTTGCAAAAGTCTGGGTACTAGAGATCTACAGAAGAAAGAGAAATAATACAATTATCCTAGCCTACAAAATAAAAAGGAATACTGGTAACATAAAATGCCCACAGCAACTGTCACCCACTACTCAACATTCACTACTCTGATTATATAATATTAACCACCAGAGGGAGTTTGAGTACCCTCCCCTCAAAATTATATCCACTCTAACAATCCCCTTTTCAATTGTAACCTAATTAAAAAGGTTAGGCTGGCAGAGCTAAAAAATCTTAATACAATGTTTACAGCAATTCATAAGTCATAAAAAATTTTTAGTTTTTTGCACCAATAGAACATTGCCTCTCAGTTTTAAATTTTTCATAAGAAGTAACTATATATACACAGATAAATTTACATTTCACTGAGGTTCATGTCTGATTCCCTTAAGAGAAACAGTTTCCCAAAGAGCAAACTACCTGGACAATTAATTTTATCATCATTTTAATGGAGTGTTCATATTCTCCAATTGTCTGTCATGACAACTGTGGGATTAAAAACGCAAAAGCAAAATTTTATGCAACTATGACTCCCGAAAAAAGGCGGGGGGGGACACAAACTATACTCTGAAAAGCATAATCCAGCCATAATACCCAATGCAAACAATGTCACTATATATTTTAGCAAAGCACAACATGACTAAACATCTCTAAAAGTTAAATTTATCTGTGACTTCAGCATCTTAAAAATTAAAATATAAATAAAAAAACATCCTAACCTTCTTTCAATGTTAGTTCATTTTTCTAAAAAATATTAAGAGAAATCATATTGAAAATGGCCAAAATCAACAAAAATTAGGGAAGAGAGACAAGCAGACAAAAACCACCCAGCAAATTATTTTGGAAAGGAGGATTTTTGTTTAATCTGGTTTATGAATCCATTAGATGGTCACAAACCTTTTTAAAGATAGAGACATACACAGGGTACATCTCATTTCCCATCCTCCCCTCACCAGGCTACCTCTCCCCCCATCGCGATTAGTTTTCCAGCAACCTCCCAGAGCTTCTTTATACGTAGCAGAGCAAACACAAGTTTGCGTTCTTATTCCACCTCCCCGCTTGACGCAGAAAGTAGCACGTTATTCACACTGTCCTACACCTTGTTTCTTTCACTTTGTGACAGATTTCGGAGATCTTTCCATGTCAGTGCACAGAAAGCTTCCTCCTCCTTTTTCTCATAGCTGATCACGACTAGTTCGACCACAACTTTCATCTATCTTCTTCAGTCTAACCTTGAACGACACTCTGCTCCGTCGACTCCTGAACACCTGGCAGCTTCCTTCCTCCAACAAGACTTGAAAACAAACCAGATTTGAAGTACCCCAAGGGACAACTTTCAGAAGCGACTCATTCTCTAAATTATATCCTTTTCAGGACGTTTGTTTCTCAAGCAGGTAGAAGGAAAACATTCCACAATTTTCTCCTGATCACTTAAAACAGAAGGAAATCTTCAAGTGAAATTACCTTTTTTCCGATTCGGAGGGGATCCGCGTAACAGTCAAATCAACAACCACTGTGAAAGTTTCTTTACTTCTTGTGCTTTTCTTTCACTGTAAAAGAAAACATTGTTTTTTAAAAAAAAAAAGGCTAGAAAGCCTTAAAGTCGTACAGCACGGCACTCTTATGGCAAGACACGGCCACCTGATTCGATCTCTCATCCGCCAGGTCGAGGCCGAGGCTTTGATCTTTCAGGATTCTGCTCCCCACTATTAACAGGACGACTTTCACACCAGGGAAAACACGCTCAAGAATGTGAGCCCTGCGACGCAACGTGCCGCCAGTGACACACCGGGGGCCAGAGCGCCAGGACCAGGTCCGGAGACTCGGGCTTCGCCGGCGCAAGGGGTCTGGAAAAGCCAGCGGCGGCGCTGACAGGGAGCGGGGAGGCGGGGGGCGATCGCAGGAAGCAAAGCCCCGGCGCCGCGCGGGGAGCCCTCGAACCAGCGCCGTCGCTCGAGCCGGGCGCGCGGGGCCGCGCGCTCCCTGGGGACCGAGCCCCGGAACCACGACCACTAACGGAACCAGCCCACGGCGGCGGCGGCGGCCGCTCGGACTGCGGACGGAGGCGCGCGGGCCGGGCGCCGGGAGGGCGGGGGTTCCCCGGAGGAGCTGGCCGCCCCGGCGCCCCATTGGGCGCCGCTCCAAACGTGCCCGAGTTGTGACAGGAATAAAGTGGGTCACAAGGCCTAGCGGGTCCCCAGCGAAAGCCCTCCCGGCACCAGGTCTCCGGCTTTCCCGGTCGCCCTGACGCGGGAATCGGCCCCAGCCCCGGCCACCCCGCCCCGCCGCGCACCCCAATCCCGCCCCTGCCCCGCAGGTAACCCCAGCTGCCCCGGAGGGCCCCTCAGCCAGGGCGGGCCTCCGCCCCAACTCCCAGGAACAGACACATCAGAGCGACGGGCAAAACTTGGGCTTCGGCTCCCGCCTTCCCCTCCCTTGGCCGCCGCCCCCGGCCCGCACTCACCGCCCCCCGCTCCCTCCCCTTCCCCGCGCCCTCACCGTGCGGCTTGCGGCGGCTCCGGCTTCCTCCCTCCCCCACCTTGGAGTTCAGCTGCGGTGACTCGGAACCACTACCCCGGCCGCGTCCCGAAGACACCGCGGCTCCCGGCACAAGCAGCACCTGGGCCAGTGAGTGGCGCCCCCCACCACCCCCAAAATAGTCACCGCTACAGCCGCCGGCTCCTCCTCCCCCTCCCTTCCCTTCCCCTCCTCCACCGGCACCCGGAGCACGCATGCGCCGCCGAGGCGAGCCTACCGGCGGACGTCAGGCCCCGGGCCCACCCGGTGGGACGCCACTCACCGGCAGCGCGCACGCGTCAGGGGCCAGATTTCCTTCGCGCTCTCGCTGTCGGGGGTTTCCTTTCCGAAGCCGGCAGCCGCAAGCCGAGTCTGTGGTTGCGCTCCCTCCCGGCGCATGCGTCGTCAGTGACCCCCGCGGGCTCCGACGGCCGGCGCTCTGCGTTCGCCCCTCCCCTCACTCTCGCTTTCCCGGGCGCGTCTCGGTGCGCATGCGACTTGCCCCGTTAGGCAGCGCGGAGCCGCGGAGGGGATCCCGGGCGTCCGAGGAGACCTCCGCTTCCTTGGGCCGCCGCCCGGCGCTAAGGGACACAGGGATCTTCCCGGAGCCCCCTTCCCGCTCTGGTTACTGGAAAGCTGGGAGGCGGGGCCTGGTCGGGTGGAGCGCGCGGCCGGTCCGGGGAGCGGTAGCGTTTGATCGCGATGGCTTTGGCTTTCACCCTCGATGCAGGGAGCGAGGAGGAGGAAGAGCTTCCTGCCGGATGAGGGATCTGGAGGCCAAAACGGGGCCCCTTTCTCCCTTGAAAAGCAAATCATTTTGCGACGCCAGGGAGGATTTCGGGTGTTGGCGGGAGAAAGACTTTTTTCCCCCGCTCTAGGGATATCACTCGCGTTTCCTCTGGGAGAGGGGGGTTGCCAAGATGCCTGGACCGCCGGGGACATCTTTTCCCCCTCTCCTGGAGGAGCACGGCTTGAGTCGCTTCTTATTGGTGGGTGCGCCTGGAGAGACAAGACATGCGCCCTTGGCGGGAGGAGGGAGGCAAAAGAAGGTCAGGATGTGTTCATTTGGAGTTTTCCACCTGGCCTTTAAGGCCAGGTGACAGTGTATCGATGGAAGATAGGGGATGAAGCTGGGGGGATAGACCAGTACCCTAATTTGTGTGGCTTCCCTTGTCAAAAAAAAAAAAAGTGTGAATACTTCTTGATTATCTCTGGGAAATTACTGCCCTTGATGCTTAAGACACACGCAGCTCACATGGGAAAGCACATTTCAGTACTTGTAAATTATTGGGAAAGAGGTCTTTACCGTCCTCATTCCTAGTAGTTGTCATATTTTAATGTCCTTCGGATTTGAAATAGAAGCCATCTTGTTTCAAAAAGTAAACTTTTGGCTATAAAATCCTCCCTTCAAGGTAACCTCATGTTCACCTCAGTAAACATTTCAGATTCTCGCTGGATACTCAGAAAAACAGAACGTCAAAATTGAGGAACTTACTCAGATCCCTGATCCTTCACTTGAGGATTTTTCTGTCGAGAGCGAAAGCATGATTTGTTAACTTCATGTAGCAGAAGAGATTTTAGCAGACGTTTTTGCCTGTTCAGCATTCATTCCCTATTCTGATAATTTCCTTTGGAGAACTATCTTTTCTTCACTCTCAGCCCATATGGCTGGGGCAAGACTCCAGGGGGAAAGCACATTTGAGTTAATCCTCTGCCTTAGGCTGGAGTTACCAAGAGGGGTGCTCTCTCTTCCAGTGGATTTAATCTGGAAAAATGGAGGCCTGAAGCCATCTTTCCTCACTCACAAATTCTGCAAAGGAAGGCAACATAGAAAAAAAGCAGATTCAAAGGTGGAGATTTGGCTTGGAGACATATTTGATGCCCCGAATCCAATGTGGACTAGATAATTCTGGAAATTTCAGTTAAATTAGTCAATAAATTCTTTCATGTGTTTGTTTCATTGCTTAAACTAATGAAAGGTTTTCTGTCACTTGAGATCATGAATCCTAACTGATACTGGTAGCAAAAGAGGAAGTAAGGTTAATATGTAATACTGATAAGGTAGTGTTACCAAGCAATGGGCTTGCTCTGCTCGCCAGGATCTGAGCCAATTAATCACAATGAGTTAGAGATCGAGAAAGTTTTGATTAGCTAGCATAATCGGGAAGATGGCAAGACCAATGTCTCAAAAAACCATCTTCAAAAATTACATAATCTTGAGGTGGTTATATAGGAAAAATGGGGAGTGAGGAGGTGGTCCAGGGATGTTGGTCTCCAGGTGTGAAGGGCGCCAGGCATCACATTGCTCCATTCTTCTGTCACCTGTAATGGATACCTTGTAGGTACGTTTTCCACCTGTAGTCAGCATGTTCCTGGAAACAAACTCATAGAACAAAGTTTTAACTTATTAAGCTATCGGGGAATACATACGTAAGCAGAGGCCATAAATCAGGAGAGCATGTGAATTTTTTAGAGTATGTGCAGAGCAGCGGAGAGTCTCACAGAGGAGGGGCTGAGGCCCTTTAGCCTGACAAAATAGCCTCACTTATGCCATAGCAGGTTGCAGCCAGACAAGAGAGTGTGAATGCTTTTTCTAGGATGTAGATGTTTGGACTTTATTCTAGAGGAAGGGATCCCTCCTCATATTCTACATCATCTAGAACACATATCTTCAAAAATACCTTTGCCCTTTTTTAATGGTTCCATTGTCCTCTTAGTCACCAGGATCAAATCATGTTCATCTTTGACTGCTTCCTCTCTCACTTTCTGTATTTAATCATTTACCAAGACCTCTTGATAATCCCATTTTTCTGCTCAGTCCTCTGCCTCTGCTTGAACATTTCCCAGAGTCAGTTCACAACTTATCCTTTCTTCCCCATATTCTCTCCAAGAAGAAAACTGTATCAGATATTTGTAATAATTTTTCCAACTTGCAGATTCCACTTTTCCCTAAAACAAAAATCCTGCTTCATAGTTTCATAGATCCTAAATTTCTCCCCCAGCCTAAATCTTCTCCTTAAACACAATTGTAATTCAAATATTCTGTTCATTCCTTCTTGTATGCCTTACTAGTAAACTGAACATTTCCCACTCCCTTCCCAACCAATTCCCCCAGCTGGTGTCTTGATAGAGGCAATACAGCATAGTGGTTAAGGGTGCAGAACGGGAACTAAACTGCCTGGATTTAAATCTCAGCCCCATCACTTAATATCTTCATGACACTGAGCAAGTTATTTCTCTGTTTTTCAGTTTCCTCATCTGTAAAATGAGGATAATAACAATCCCTTCTCACAGGATAATTGAGAGGAGACATAAAAGATAAATTGATACAGATGTGTGTGTATAATAGTACCTACTACATAAGAAATCCCATATTAGTGTTGGCTGTTATTAATGATTTAATGGTGTTCCTTTTTGTGTACTTCTTACATCTCTTTTGCTCAAATTCTTCCCCTAGTTCCCTATGGCCCATCAATCACAAAGACCTTTCTGTTCTTTCATAATATCTCTCTCATTTATCCTTTCATTGACATTCCTAGTTTTACCACCATAGTTTAAGATGAATTGGAATACAGGAAGTTTAAGATATGTATAATAGAGAATATAAGGTAAGTTTTTTTCAAAAGAAACCTTCATAGTTTAGCCAATTACTCATATTCTTTCTAGACTCTTTAAAATAGGGGGAAGTACAATAATATGAGGTCATGTTATGGACTTGTAGTCAAAAGTCTAGACTTAAATCCTGACTAACACTAAGAGACACTGAGCAAGTTAAATAATTTCTCTAAGCTTCAGAGCATTTATCTGTAAAGTCAGAAGAATAAGTATCTCAGAGAATTGTGATAATCAAAAGTAAATTATAGACTACTACATAAAGGTTGGATGGTAAGGATGATGATTTTAGGTTTTTACAATTTGTTGTTGGAACTCTAGGAATGGTTGAAATGACTCACAAATCTGTAACTCAAGCCTACACTTCTCCACTGGGCACCATACACATATGTCCAATTGCCTACCTGATGCCTCCTCTTGAGTCTCAAATATCTTGGATGCTCCCTTCAATCTATTCTCCACGGAGCAGTAAGACTCTTCTTTTGAAAATATAAATGAAATCACAGTTCGTACTTAAAACCATTTTATTGTTTCCCATTACATCCAAATTCCTAATCATGGCCACAGTACCCTGTTTGATCTAGCCCCTGCTACCTCTCCAAACTCATGTCCTACCATTTTCTCCTTTTCTCATAATACTCCCACCCAGAAAATTCTTTCAGTTCCTTGCTAATCTCTCTGTTCTCAGGCTTTGGCATAAGCTGTGCCCTTGCCTGGACCACCCTCCTACCTTTTCTCATGGCTGGCTCCTCCACAGTCGTCATGTCTCAAGGATCTAATTACCCTATTTAAGGAGGTCTCCCTCCCATCTCTCATCTGTCCCCCCACATAGTACCCACAGTTAGTCTCTATTATTGTGTCCACTATTTCCTTCATAATACTTATAAGTTTAAATTTCACATATATTTGTTTGAATTTGTTTTCTTATCTATTAGCTATCTTCCCCACCACCATGTGGTAAACTCCAGAAAGCAAGAACCATGTATCTTGTTCACCACTGTATATGCAGCATCCATTTCAATGCCTGAGGTAAATGAATGATTGAATAAATGAATGAGATGAAAGGTAAAACATGCCAGAAGATTTTGAGGATCATCCTTATATCCCAAATTATGATTGTAGGCAGATTATAATCTTGTCAAAAAGTAACCTTGTAATGTGTATTAAAGTACAAATGGGAGATAAAAACTGAAATCAGTTCGTGAAATATGATGTCCTAATACTGTGTTAGTAGTTCAATACTTGAGTACCCACAAGAATATGCAACACTATAAGAGACACAGCTAACACTTTAGAAGAGGATGCTGAGTGAGGTCCAAAATAGGGAACAAAGAGTATGAAGTACTCACTTTCCAAATAGCTGCCAACATTTGTGGCCAGACTAAACATTGGGATCAGGAATAAAAGCTTGACAAAACTGGGCCTACCATAGTCAAAATCTCCAACCCTTACTCTTAGGCCATATAAGCAGAACACTTGGGAAGAGGAGAATGTGCAAATCATCGGAGCCATGTCTTATTGGGTTCTTAGAGTGTTCTGTTCCTTTCCTATTTATCCCCCACCCCACTTCACATTACGTGAACAAGGCTCCAAGAATCAGCTAGAGAAACTGGAGGTGACTGTAATGAGAGAGACTGGCATCTCATCCACTGACAGATTTGTTGATGTGCCCTCCACCTACATGAGCAGGAGGATAGAGACTTGGAGAGAAACAGCTGGCCAGGGAGTGGGCTGAAGTGAAACAATGTGCACTCCTACAATTTGGCATGGCTGGGTCCATTGATGCTGAGTACCAGAAAGTGCCATGCAGATTTAAACCATCTTGACACATAAGGGGAAAGAAATTCTAGCAGCAAGAGGCTGAGTATACTTCTAGGAGTGGGAACTGAGAGAGATTAAAAGAGAGAAAGTTGCAGACTGATCTCCCATGTCAAGGAACTGTGCAGTGGCGAAGCGACCTCAGGGTTTCTAGGAGAACTCAATGTGCCCGTGAAAGAGTGAACATGTAGATGCAACTTGGATTGTACTTACCCAGTCAAGAGAAACTTATCCCTTTCTTCTCTAATTTCCCTTCCAGTCCCCAATACCAGAGGGAATGGGCCTTTAAAAGAAAAGGAAAGAACTGGTCAAAAACTAAACAACTTCCATGTTCAGAGTTCCTGAGTCACAACTTCAGCTAGAAAACGCGTGCCTTGGAACTGAGACTGGAGTTTTAAACCAGACACACATTTAATAACTAAGAGTATGAAGGAAGAATTAAAAAATATGCTCAAGACATCTTTAAGGTATTTGCTACCCAGTGTTGCTCAATCACCTAAGGATCTCATTAAAACAAAAATTCCAATTCAGTTAGTCTGGGATGGGGCCCGAGATTCCACATTTCTAACGAGCTCCCTGGGGATACTGCCGATTTTAGGACCACACTTTGACAAACAAGACACCATAAAGTGGGGAAGGCAGTTTCAACAGAGCACGGTTCGCAGCAAGGTATAGAGAAAAATATTAGGTTAGAATATATGAAATATCCTTTTTTGTGGGTCAAAAACGGTTGAATATTGACAATTTCAAAAAACTTTTTATGTTTGTATCCTATCAAATAAAATTCATTCAATAAAATGGGAAACAGTATTAAATATTAAATAATTTCTCCAGATTCTGACAAATATTTATACCCTACATAAGTGAGAATGTATAAATGAAGTAACGTGTGGAAGTAGTACCGACCTGTGTTGGCAGGCATCAGCACTGGCGAGAAGAATGTGTGTGTGTGTGTGTGTATCTGAAAAAGATTGAGGCTAGAATCACAACCAGCTACCTCTAACACGCTGTAATTTTATGATTTTTACAAATGTTAAAGTCTTCAGGAACTGTGCTTGTGGATAAAAACTTACTGCCACCTGGTGGATCTGAGTTAAGTTAAAAGGGAAATATGTGTCTTTTTATTTATATATCTTAAATACTATTAGTATTTCCTCTGTTAATTTTAACTTGAAAAGGACAAAAGATAAATATGTATTTACTAAAAAAAACTACATTTAGGGCAACCTTTTACATTTGGTTTCAATTGGAGGGGAAAATAATGTTCATATTTATATGCATTAGATGGCATTAAAGTTACATTTTAACTTTATGATAATATGACTTTTCCTTTCATTTCCACAACTGTTTTATCCTAAGTAGGAATTTATCCATCCATTTGTTAAGGAGACTTTCAGAACTCGGACCAGTATAGGTAATTATTTCTCTTGATGTGTACATAGTGCTATCATAAAAGCCATTGTACACGACTCCCGACTTTCTTTCCCTTTGTCTGAAGATGTGTATTTTCAGAAGCCCTTTGCTTTCTCAGAAGAAAACAGTCCTCCCAATCCTTTCCAAGGTTAGATCATTTGATATTACCTTGTCTAATAAAATAAATTATCACTACCTTACTCAAATCTATATTTAACTTTCCTTCCATGTCATCATTCTCTGCAGGCTTTATGATCCCCACTCCCAAGAGCGGCAAAGAGCCTCTTCCTGACTCCATGTTAAACTTCCTCAATTCTCACCAATTTATTTTTGTAATCTAATCATTTAAATTTAGTTTAGATTCTCTCACAAACATGAGTGAATATCCATGGTCAGAATGGTGGCTTATCAATACAAAGCAGAAGAATAAAATCTGTAATTGAACTATTACATGCTGATTTACCACCCTTTTCTCTAAAAGTGGTATTCATTATTAAACCAAGAGAAAACATCCTGCAAGTCTTTTGCAGTGTCCTAATATTGTATGTTTTCTCATGATGAATTCTTCTGCAATTACTATTAAAACATAGATAAGCTTCACAATATATTTTTCTCACTTCTCTTTGTGACTTAGAAACTTTCATGTTATGTTATACAGTTCTAATGATTCTATGGTCTGACTATTAGAAAGAGTATGTAGTAATTTTCTAGCTTAATAACAGAACTATTAAAAACAGTAATAAAGAGTGGAAATGTTTCTTATGTACTTTTCAGAATCTTTAAATTGCACTTTTCTATTGAGTGGTTAATTTTTTCAATAGATAAGAGATTTCAAAGAAAAAGCCTATGGTCATAAACTTAAGTATTTTCACTCAAGGCCTCTAGATAATAGAGTTTAAAATCTATTGACATAAATTAAATGAAATTTCATGGTTCTCTTTCATCATTTTCATTCATAGGCCTCTCTGGAAGTGAGTTGGCAACACAGAGGACTTGTAATATTTGTGTTTTTGTCCAACATGGGTCGGAAAAAGGATAAGCCACAGAAAAATATTAAGGGTTCAGTAAAAATTCTGATTTTGTTGGAGGCAATGAATATTCTGAAATGCCTAAAAGTTTCTGAAATGACATATAAGCTATAATTCTAATATAAAAATAAAAATAAATCTATAAATTTTCTAACCTCTGATTGTAAAGGCAGTGCAAATAAAACATTCAGTATATAAACACTTTCAAGCTATTTATTACATAGTTCTTTCTATTTGGTATCATCATTATCACTGTTTGAACTGTTAGTGTCATCATAAATAGAAGCGTTTCTTATTGAAGATACCATCACATCTACAATGTCTTTTTTGGGGTTTTCTTCCAAATCAGTCTGTATTGCTCCAACTTCTGCTAGCTTCCATTCAAGTTCTGCAATAAATAATCCATCATTAAATCAGATAAAAATCTCAGAAAAATGAGAAGAAGAATTTCTCATCTATATGAAACACAAGTTGACTAATAAAATTAATGTGGAAGTGATGATGTATTTAGAACTGGATGACAATGAAAGTACTACAACATCAAAATACACATTAGACATAGCAAAGTTATACTTAAAGGGAAATTTTATGGTTAAACTGTTTATTTTAAAATGACTGAAAATAAGTGGTTTAAAAGTTCAAATCAAGAAGCTGGGAAAAAACAATAAAGCAAACCCAAGGAAAGCAGAAAGAGGGCTATAATGAAGAAAAGACTTTAGCAAAAAGAGAAAAACAAAATCAGTAAGAGGCAACCAACAAAATCAAAAGCTGGTTCTTTGAAGAGGCTAGTAGACATACCTCAGGCGAAAATGATCACAAGTAAGCGAAAGAAACCAAATAATACACAGAATTTACATGGGGCATAACTACGGTAAAGATTTTAAAGTTATGAGAATAGTATGAAAAAACTTACCCCAGTATATTTGAAAACTTTAATGGAAAAATTTCAACAAAAATATGAATTACCAAAATATATCCAAGAGAGAAACTAAAAAGAATTAAATTGATAACCAAAAATTCCCCATGCCTGCAAATTCATTTTGTTAAATTTATTCCTAAGTACTGTATAGATGAATAGAACATTTATGAAGAAAATTACAAAATGCTTTTATGAGGAAAATTCCAAAATATATTACATTAAAAAATATAATATATATGTTATATTTATGAGGAAAATTACAAAAACCATTAAAGAAGACCAAAATAAATGACAAAATATATCTCATTCATGGATAGGAACATTCATTGTTATTAAGATATCAAGTCTCCAATAATTAATCTATAAATAGGATTCTAATAAATAATCAACAGGCTTTTTCACAGAATTTGACTAATTCCAACATTTATATGAAATTTTGAAAACTTGCTCTACTAGAGACAACAGATTGTTATAAAGCTATAGTGATTAACATAGTGCTATATTGATTCAGGGACAGACAAATAGACCAGTGGAACATAGAGATTTCAGAAACAAATTGAAGCATTTTTTGAACCATGAAAAATGACATAGGAAACAAAAATCAATGGGGAAAACACCACACACACACATCAGGATGGTTACTATAAAAAAAGACAGAAAATAACAGATGTTGGTGAGAATGTGGAGAAATTGGAATCCTTGTGCAGTGTTGGGAATGTGAAACAGCGCAATCACTATGGAAGACAGTATATTGTTGCTCAAAAAATTAAAATAGAATTACCATATGATCCAGCAATTCTACATCTGAGTATATACCCAAAAGAATTGAAAACAGGGACTAGAATGATTATTTGTACATCCATGTTCACAGGAGCATTGTTCACAATAGCTAAAAGGTAGATGCAACCCAAGTGTCCATCAACAGATGAATGGGTAAATGAAATGTGGTATGAACATATAATGGAATATTATTCAGTCTTAAAAAGGAAGGAAATTCTGACACATGCTACAACATGGATGAACTTTGAGGACATTATGCTAAGTGAAAGAGGTCAGTCACAAAAGGACAAACACTGTTATGATTCACTTATATGAAGTACTGAGAGTAGTATAGAGTCAGAAATTAGAATGGTGATTTTCAGGGGCTGGAGGGAGAGAGGAATGGGGGAATTATTGTTTAATGGGTAGAGAGTTGCAGTTACGCCAGATGAAAAGAGTTTTAGAGATGGATAATGGTGATGATAGCACAATGGTGTGAATGTACTTAATGTCACTGAACTATATAATTAAAAATGGTTAAATAAAGTAACATAAAATAAATAAGTCCTAGGTATGTAAATGTACAGCATAGTAACTATAGTTAAAAATACTGTATTATATATTTAAAACGTGGTTAAGATGGTAAATTTCATGTTATGTGTATTTTACGACAAATAAAATTTTTTTTAATATATCAATTTGAAAAAAGCATAGACCAGATAACATGCTATTCATGACAGTGATTGCCTCCAAGGAGGCAGGGAGGGGAATGGGACTAGAAATGGAAATATAAGTGACTTCAACTATATCTGTAATGTTTATTTCAACAATAAACAAAGAAATAGCTGAAGCAAACATGAACAAATGTTCACCTTTGTTATTTTTGGTAAATGATTTCATGAATGTTTGCTATATTATTGTTGTACTCCTACGTGTTAATTTTTTTTAGTTAAAGGGATGAGATCCAAGCAGAAAAAACAAGGTGGTAAAACGAAGAGGAGCCTTAGAGACTAGGAGAAGGAAAAGGGGGTAATTCTGGAACAATTAAAGTATTGGAGGTCTCAGTAAACAAACAGCTTTAGCGGAATGATAGAGTGAAAGAATGGCTGTTAAAAACAACTATTCACGATGGCTTTAACACAATGGTAAGAGAAAAAGATTTAAAAAATATAGAATTAAAGTAGTTCCAGGAAATGACTAGATCAAGGATATGGCCTTAGAATTAGGCTAGGAAGTAAAAATTATCAAAGTCCTGTGCTATGTACTATGAAAAAAAATAATAGGAAGCATGGTCCTTGTACTTGTTAGGGAGACAAAACTCAAAGAGAACTGATTAACCAACAAAATCAGATTGTACATGGATAAGTGAAAAATAAGTTGTATAGAGAATATATGCTATAGAAATTCAGTAGAGAAGATGAAGATAGATTATAATTGGTCCAGAATCACATAATGGGATAAATGGAAATCTAGGAAACCCATGAAGGAATCGGGTTTGGAAGCGAGGGTAGAGAAGGGTAGGGTATTTTGGGTATAGGGAAAGAGTATGAAACAAAAAATCACAAATGAGTAATGTATGTCTGGCGTAGTGGTTGAAGGCGAACCTGGCTGGAGCAGAAACTGGAAAGCATCCAGAAATATATTTGGCTACATGGGCTGAAATTCTCAAGCAGAAATTCTGAATTGTTAACTTATTTGAGGGGCCAGCCCGGTGGCGCAGCGGTTAAGTTCGCACATTCGGCTTCTCGGTGGCCCGGGGTTCGCTGGTTCGGATCCTGGGTGCGGACATGGCACCGCTTGGCACGCCAGGCTGTGGTAGGCGTCCCACATATAAAGTAGAGGAAGATGGGCACGGATGTTAGCTCAGGGCCAGGCTTCCTCAGCAAAAAGAGGAGGACTGGCAGTAGTTAGCTCAGGGCTTATCTTCCTCAAAATAAAATAAATAACTTATTTGAGACAAGGAACCATTAAGGATTTAAGCAAGTGGGTGTTATAATAAGAGTATTATTGTCAAAAAATTAATCTGGAGGCATAAAAGAAGATACTGGAATCAAGGGGGAAAACCTTATGTTTTACGGAAATAGACTTTCATAATACTTGTTAACATGTAGAAGTTTTCACCTATTTTTTTATAAACAAATTTTTAAAATAATGTCATTACCTTCTAGCTTGAGATTTATCCCTCCACATTCTATAATTCCAATGAATTTGCTTTCTATCTGACCATTTTTATAAGCAAAAATTGTTGGTAAACAATTGTCATGGTAGTGTTGAATACAGCTATTCACGATGGCTTTAACAAATTTAGTTTCTGGAAACTTTCTTGCTAGGAGACTAAGATGCTGGTTAACCAACAAACACATTGGGATGCTAAAAAAGAGAAACAGTACACACAGTATCTTTAAAAAACAGACTACTCATGTCAGTCTAATAAAATAGATCACATTGGTTTATAACATGACATAAATTTCAGGTGTACATCATTATATTTCAACTTCTGTATAGACTGTATCATGTTCACTACCAAAAGTCTAGTTGCAAAAAAATCCATTAATTTTCTTAAAATGTATCTTTTATATTGACATATGAGTGCATTTTCTTAATGTCAAGAAAACTAATATTTTATGTAACTATTGTAGATTGCCCCCAAAAAGCCTTCTGAGAAGGTAACAAATACCTAACATGTTATAAAAACAGATCCTTACTCTGAGTCCATCAAAGCATATGACAGTTTACAACAGCCTAGCTGAGACTAAAACACATTCAACCTCTTTGAAGAATTTTTGAAAACGATTTGTCAAAACTAGTAATTTACCTAGAAATAACCATTAATGTAAATAATTTTATACCATGGTGTGGGCGTTCAGAACCAACATCTATTCTGCTGATCATAATGAGTCTCCGAAAAGACATTCAGTGAACCACTTCAGTATTTAACATTTGTCACGCACAGATTCCGGGAGTGTAAATGTTGGATTTCTCATACTTGTTTGTGAAGAACCCAAATCAGAAGTATTTACGAACTGGTTTAACCAGATAAGTGGTATAGGAAAAACGAGAAATGATTCTTTTTAAGGCTTTAAATTATTCAAAAATTAATTACCAAGCATTTTAGTTACAATAAAAGTAACGTCTTTTTTTTATTAAGATTATGATAGTTTACAACCTTGTGAAATTTCAGTTGTACATTATTGTTAGTCATGTTGTAGGTGCACCACTTCACCCTTTGTGCCCTCCCCCCACCCTTTCCCCTGGTAACCACCAATCAATTCTCTTTGTCTATATGTTCACTTCCACCTGTGAGTGGAGTCATACAGAGTTCGTCTTTCTCTGTCTGGCTTATTTCACTTAACATAATACCCTCAAGGTCCATCCATGTTGTTGTGAATGGGACGATTTTGTCCTTTTTTATGGCTGAGTAGTATTCCATTGTATATGTATACCATATCTTCTTTATCCAATCATCAGTTGCTGGGCACTTAGGTTGGTTCCACATCTTGGCTATTGTAAATAATGCTGCAATGAACATAGGGGTGCATGGGACTTTTGGAATTGCTGATTTGAAGTTCTTTGGATAGATACCCAGTAGTGGGATGGCTGGGTCATAAGGTATTTCTACTTTTAACTTTTTGAGAAATCTCCATACTGTTTTCCACAGTGGCTGCACCAGTTTGCTTTCCCACCAACCAACCGTGTATGAAGGTTCCTTTTCCTCCACAACCTCTCCAACATTTGTCACTCTTGGTTAGTAATATCTTCTTTTATGGGGCATGGTAGCCTATCAATATTTGTCTGAGGAAGTGGTAAGCTGATAAACAGCAGGGCTCAAATTTGCATAAACTGCTCTGTACAGAATTTCTCTAAGGACCTGAAGAGAAAAGAAATTCTTTATTCAGAGAACGAGATAAGAACACTGAGGGCTGCTGTCATGGCCTCTGTTGCTGGTTTGGCTTCGAGCCCAGGTAGAGGGGCTGGGAACTAAAGCTAGAGGGGCTGTTTTGATGAGGGATTTATGAAGCTCTGGGAGCTCGCGGCTCCTTTATGGCACAGAGTTGGGGAAAGGTCCACTGTTCCCAATTATCATTATACCGGGCTGGTGAGGCCTAGGGAGATTGGGGTTATACCTTGCACAACTTGTCACTCTAAAATTAACTGTTTGGGGATTGGAGGGGCTGTGAGGGAAATATTCTCTTAAAAAAGACTTAAGTGGCATGATATATCCAAATCCACAGCATAATGCTTGACTGGATCCTTATTCAAAAACATATGTATTTATAAATGACATTTTGAAGTCAGTTGGGGAAATTTGAGTAAGGAATGGGTATTAGATGCTATTAGGAGTTATTGTTAATTTTCTTAGGTGAGAAAATGGTATTATGTTAAAAAGAAAAACCGCAGGACCAAAATGGCAACACTTGTGCTAAAGCCCATGATACCAAACCAAGATTTAAATCTTTACGTAATAGCAGTTTTGACCTTCCCCAGAAATGTAGTCTTCATCAACCAGTCTGGAATTTTCTGGAAAGTACCAATGAGGTAATCTGTGGCTTGGGCCCTCTCCATGTCCCAGAGGAAGAAGAGGTAATCTGCACGATGAAATCCTTGACTTTCCCTCCCCCTCAAAGAGGAGATGTCCTGACCCAAAATAATCCTTTCTTTTTTTTTGCTAATAACTTCCTTGCCCCACCCTCCTTCCTATAAAACCCTTCCATTTTGCATTAACTCCTAGGAGTATCTCTCTGCTTGCTAGAGGAGATGTTGCCCGATTCCTGAATCATTGAATAAAGCCAATTAGATCTTCACATTTACTCGGTGGCGTTTTGTTTTTAACAGTGGTTATGCAGAAAAAAGTCCTTATGATTTGATGATACATGCTGAAATATTTAGAAGTAAAGCATCATGCTGTGTTAATTTACTTTGAAATGGTTCTGCAAATTCACACACACACACAAAGTGATACAAATATGGCAAAATGTTCATGTTCAATCTACCTGGCCACTATTTAGGACGCTCACTTTATCATTACTTTTCTGTATGTTTGAAATTTTCCATAACAAGTATTTTTTTTAATTAACTGCCAAAGAGTACTTATTTTTCTAAGAAGTGTGACAAGTCCTTTAAGTTAGACATGAAGATATATTAAAATACTTTATTTAATCCCGAAGCCAAATGACTCTATACATACATGTACATATATATACACATATTTTTCTTGAGTAGTCTTTGTTTTATGCTTTATAAAACCTTAACACCAGAAATACATACCTTAAAACATTAGTATATTAACATTTCATAAAAATGCTATGGTAATTACCTTGATCTGTATAGATGAATTATAACCCATACATCTTTTTCTGCATTTGTGACTTCATTCACATACTGATTTCCAGAAATTTCTCTTAATTCCCCAAATTTTTGTTTTTTCTTAAGAGCTTTCCATTCCTGTAACCGTTTTTCTCTAAGTAAAAAAAATGAAATGAAACCACATAAGAAAATTATTACATTCTTAAGTTCATTCCCATATTCGGTAACAATTTAGGGCAATGAATGTAATGCTTGTGCCTGTCAAACACTTTAAAGAATATTAGAATAATTATTAATGGTCTTATAATGCCAATTTCTCTTTTTATTTGGGAATTTGTGTTATCGTGGGTATTACAAAGTGTAAGAAGTCAGCTACTGACTTTTAAATTTATTTTTATTAACGACTAGGTCTTAATCATAATTATAGAGACTTTATTTAGACATTGGGCCAATAAATTTCCATACAAGACTAAATACTTATTAAGGGAGAATATGCATAATAATAATAGCTAACATTTTTTGAGTGCTTACTACATTGCCAGACACTATTTTAAATGCATTACATTAACTAATTTATTCCTTGTACAAACATTATGAACTTGGTACTGTTATTATCCCCATTTACATCCTCAACTATCATGCTAAACTGACCTTCAATCCAAAACCTTTGTAAGTATGTGTAATTACCTGTTATAAATTTATTGCAGGCAGAGAGGTCATAGAGAAGAGTGATTACGAGTTTGGACTCTAAGGTCAGACTGCACTGGGTTTTAAATGCCAGCTCCCACTTACTAGCAGCATGAACTTGGGCAAGTTATTTAATCTCTCTAAGCTTCAGTTTCCCCAAGTGCAAACTGCAATAATACTAATACCTATTGGCATGGGATTGTGGGGGATTAACTAACACACGTAAATTTCTTAGACTGGTGCCTAGCAAACTGAGCATTCAGCTAATGTTACCTAGTTATTCATCCATAAGAACCTTAAAACTTTGTTAAACAACTCTCTCAAAATTTACATACTTTAATTGTTGAATGCTTGGATTCATAAAGCAAATCCAAATGGTTTCTGACACATCTGCAAATTTCTTTAAAGTTACTGATTCTATATCTCTAAGTTATCTGGGAGAACTTACTCCCCTTCTTTGTCTGTGTATTAAATATATTTTCTGATTTTCTGTATTCTTGGATGCTCTGGCATCTGAGGCTTTGCTGATCCATGAGAGACTGCTTCTCCCAGGGTTACCTAATTCCTAAAGATAGCAAACACTTGCCCAAGAGCACATTCCTCAAATGCAAACCAACTGATCCAGAGCTCAATCCTTCAACCACCTCCTTTACTGGGCTGAGCCATTATCCCCCTGCTTTAATCATCCCTGGGCCTGGTACCAGACAACTAGAGACAGCCACTATAATCCAGAGCCTGAAAAATTATTCAAACTATCCAATCCTAAATCTCCTTACTCTGCCTAGCTTGCATTTCCTGTGGAAACCGCAATAAAGGCTCATGTCCATGCTATACGCTCACTCCTTCTGCCTCTTCGCCAGCTCTGGTGCTTCCCCGTGTGGCCCTGCATTGTGGGGCATGCCCCCTACTCTTGAGAATTGTGAGTAACAAACAGTCTTTTCAGAGTCAATTATCTCCTGGTCTGTTGGCTTCACTGTACCTGAATAAATACAAAATCCTGTGTGTATTTTAAAACACCCTGTCCTTATTTCACCTATTAGAAACATGTCGGGTAAAACCAATCACTTTACATAACAAGTAATCTAAGCAAAATGAAGCCTAGAGGGGAAGACCAGTGTCGACGAAAATAATCCATAACCAATCTACAAATGAAAATTTGGGTGAGTTTATTCTGGGCTGAAATCTGAGGACCATGGCCTGGGGCCTTTCTTCTCAAAGGAAGAAAGGGCACCAAAGAAGTGAGGTATACAGAGTGGTTATATACCCCCATACAGGATGTTTCACGTATGATTGAAATGTCCCTCCCACAATAGTCACAAGATTGCCCTGTCAGCACAGCACTTGATGGACACAGCAGGTAGTGGGTCTGCTCTCTCAGAGGGTGTAGCAGGAGGCAAGTCTATTTGTCTCGAGCTGGGCAGCCACAGGTGAGCGCAGCAATCAGTTTCTAGCCTAAGGAAAGATGCTTAATCCTTAAGGAGAAGCCAACATTGGGATGGGAAGGGAAGTTGCACCTTAATCTCAAGGGCCTTTGTTCTTGCCATAAGGAATATCTAAAGCAGATATACAATGCATGCTCAACAGCCATGGTCAGGCCCTTTTGGAAAGACAAGGTCAGGCCGAATTAGGTTTATACCAAATGGCTTCCTCATATGCTCCAATATATCCTATTGCTTGCCATTTTTATTTGTCACCAAGAATAGTACTCCAAGTCTAGGACCCCCACACAGTTTTCAAACTGAAGTCCTTCAATTTTCCCTCTACTGGCCCAGATATTCAGAATTTACAGTTACTCCAAAGATCTTTTCTCAGCCCTATATTGCTTGCATTGAGTATTTAGCATCATTAACTTCCCTCTATTTGATCTCACTGGCTTAATATCTTTCAAAAGTTTCAAAAAGTTTTTGTTCTGATGAGGGCACCATGCCCCCCTTAATGGTGCAACTATCAACTACTTCTCTTCTTCCTCCCCTCTTCTACCCTCTCCTCCTCATTTGTCTTTGTTATTTCAAAGGAATTGAGCAGGCAGAGACACAAACACCTGGATTAGTTTTGCCATCAGGAAGTGATATAGTGTTCAGTGGCCTGCATTTTTCACCTAACAATCATATCAGTTGAGATTCAGTTGCATAAACAGAAAGCCCTCTAGCTATTTTAAGCAGCAATAAACTTAATCTGGGGAATTAAGTCCTTTACAAACTCAGTGGAAAGAGGAAGGAGGAGGCTCTAGACCGAACTAACAGGAACGACTCCCAGAACAACACTGCAAAACTGGTCTGCCAACGAAACAGCTTTGTCTGCCGTAATCCAGAAACTGGGGAAGCTGGAACTAATGTTGCACTTATGCCCTAGTATCAAACTACTCTGGAGATCAGAAAACCGCTGTAACAACTTTTGTCTCTAGGAACTTATCTCCTTAGCAAAGACTGGGAGAAAATATTTGCAAAACCTACATCTGATAAAGGACTGTCATACAAAATATATACAAAGAACTGTAAAAACTCGACCATAGGAAAACAAACCACTATATTAGAAAATGGACCTAAGACCTTAACAGACACCTCACCAAAGAAGATATACAGGTGACAAATAAGCATCTGAAAAGATGCTCCCACATCTATGTGACAAATAAAAATGGCAAGTAATAGGATATATTAGAGAATATGAGGAAGCCATGTGGTGTAAACCTAATTTGGCCTGACCTTGTCTTCCCAAAAGGGCCTGACCGTGGCCGTTGAGCATGCTTTGTATATCTGCTTTAGATATTCCCTACAGCAAGAACAAAGGCCCTTGAGATTAAGGTGCAACTTCCCTCCCCCTCCCAATGTTGGCATTCCCTTAAGGATTAAGCATCTTTCCTTAGGCTAGAAACTGATTGCTGCGCTCACCTGTGACCACCCAGCTGGAGACAATAGGCTTGCCTCCTGCTACACCCTCTGAGAGAGCAGACCCACTACCTGCTGTGTCCATCAAGTGCTGTGCTGACAGGGCAATCTTGTGACTATTGCGGGAGGGACATTTCAATCATATGTGAAATGTCCTGTATGGGGGTATATAACCACTCTGTATACCTCACATCTTTGGTGCCCTTTCTTCCTTTGAGAAGAAAGGCCCCAGGCCATGGTCCTCAGATTTCAGCTCAGAATAAACTCTCCTAAATTTTCATTTATAGATTGGTTATGGATTATTTTCGTTGCCAGTTCTTTCGTCGACATATGTCATCAGGGAAATGCAAATTAAAACAACAAGAGACCATTATACATCTATTAGAATGACCAAAATCTGGAACACTGACAACACCAACTGCTGGAGAGGATGTGGAGCAATAGGAGCTCTCACTGCTGGTGGAAATGCAAAATGGCACAGCTTTTTTTGGAAGGCTTTTGGAAGGTTTTTGGAAGTTTAGAGGTTTCTTATAAAACTAAACATACTCTTACCACATGATCTGGCTATCGGGCTCCTTGGTATTTACCCAAAGGAGTCGAAAACACGGCCATGTAAAAAACTGCACGTGGGTGTTTATAGCAGCTTTATTCATCATTGCCAAAACTTGGAAGCCACCAAGATGTCCTTCAGTGGTTGAATGGATAAATAAACTGTGGTACATCCAGACAACGGAATATTACTCAGTGCTAAAATGAAACGAGCTATCAAGTCATGAAAAGACATGGAGAAACCTTAAACGCATGTTATTAAGTAAAAGAAGCCAATCTGAGAAGGCTACATACTGTATGATTCCAACTATATGACATTCTGGAAAAGGCAAACTATGGAGACAATAAAAAGATCAGTAGTTGCCAGAGGTTGGCAGTGGGGGAAGGATGAATAGGCAGAGCACAGAGGATTTTTAGGGCAGTGAAAATACTCTTATGATATTATAATGATGGATATATGTCATTATTCATTTGTCTAAACCTGTAGAATGTACAACACCAGAATGAACTGTAATGTACACTCTTGACTTTGGGCAATTATAATGTATGTCTGTGGATTCATCAATTACAACAAATATATCACTCTGGTGGGAGATATTGATAATGGGGAAGGCTTTGCATTTGTGGGAGCAGGAGCTATATTTGAAATCTCTACACTTGCCACTCAATTTTGCTGTGAACCTAAAACTGCTTTTGAAAAAAAAGTCTTAAATTTTTAGCTGCTGTTTTGCTTTGGCTTTAAATGAAGAATTTGCTTTAAATCAGCACTATCAAGATGACTACAGAATTTTATTTTCTTAAGAACAAGTAAAATTTTGAAAGGCTACAGTTTCCTTTTTCCTTACATCCAAAGTGACAGCAGAGATATGAAGATAATGCCATAATTTGGTGGCCATTAGATTTGGACTTTTGATGTGGAGCATACAAGTGAAAGAACTTCTATGTATAGCATCTCTTTATCTCTGTGGCAGAGACTAATTGGGTGGTCATTAGTATAGCTTCCTCTTCCACCGCTTACAGGAAGACAGCATTT